AGAGAGAGAGAGAGAGAGAGAGAGAGAGAGAGAGAGAGAGAGAGAGAGAGAGAGAGAGAGAGAGAGAGAGAGAGATTTTTGATATTTTTTTGGGTCTAGAATGAAGGTTGTCTGTCATTTCTTTTGTGGGCTGAGATAAACGTTGTCCTTCATATTTTAATATGAGGAGAGGCATGCGTGCCCAAAATAATGAGCCAGAAAAGAACTGCGCGCCAAGCTTTGCCAAATGCCATCGTGACGTTTTTTTTCTTCTTTTTTGGGTGCATTAATGCTGCATTTGTTTTTTCCATCTTAGTGAGCCCACGTGCGCACACAGGAGAGAGAGTGTGGTATGGACAGCTCCCACACGAGCCCCTTTAGGGCCCGACGTTGAGGTAGGGGTCGTGGAGTCCAAACCACCAGTACCTCGCTATATTTCTCCGACACGGCCGTTAATGCGCTGCGTCGGATGGGGGTCGTTGCAGTGAACGTCCGGTCGCAGCAGAAGTGGGTGAAAAACGGGATTAAAAAAGAAAAACCAAAAAAATATCTACTTTTTGGAGTTCCCTGATGTCGGGAAAGGTACTTCTAGAGGTCGTGGCGACTTGGTTTCTTTGCATGGTGTATCTCACGGCTATATCGGTGAGGTTCTTTCCGTCGTTTCTTTCATTTTTTGTTTTCCCATTTCCTTTCTTTAGATTTCCCTGCCAGCGAGGCAGGACGTTTCTGTGATGAGTGCAGATGCCCTCGTTGAGGGCAACAGTCCAACTGGCACATCAGAAGATGTATCCAGCCCCAGGGCCAAAACAGCATTTCCTTTGTTTGTGTCTCCTTTTGCTTTCAAGATTCTGACGACACCGAATGTGTTTTTTTTTTTTTTTTTTTTTCTTTCTTTTTTGTCTTCTTCTACTTTCTAGATTCTCATGCCCTCATTAAGAGCATGCTCTCACTACCACTTCCCGTAATGTATCCAACTGCATTCTCATCACTAGCATTGATGTGTTTTTTTTTTCTTTTTCTTTATTATGTTTTTTTTTACTGCTTCTTCCAGGCTCGACCTGTCCGGCTAGTGGCACCTCCAGGCTCGGCAGGTTTGGCATACCGGTCCCCCAAGGGCCGGACTGCATAGCTGGGCGAGGTACTGGTGTTCAAGTTGGGGGGTGGTTTCTTCCCCCCCCCCCCCCCCCCTAAAACTAAGCTATATACCTCACAGTACCTACCCTCAGCCTATATCTATCTAGATCCAGCTCCCTATATCTGTCTGATCCAGTTCTTGCTTTTTTATGTACCAAAGCTGGAACTCCTGTACTTGTTATGGGTTGAGCGTATTCCCTCTGGGTTAATCAAGCTCTACTCTGCGTGGGGAGTCGTTACTAGGCTCCTGACCCCTGGCAATGCACAGGGGGGGGGAAGGCCCCTACCACGACCAACCAGGGGGGGGCAAGCCGACTATCTCAGCTGGTGAACCCGCTATGCGCCGCAGGAGGTCGTAGGGGTTCAAATGGAAGACGTGGGGAATCGAACCCACGACCTCCTGAATGCAGCTTTCGTGCTCTACGAATTGAGTTAGGCCACTGGCCTTGGGGGAGGGTGCTTTCTTTTATTTTTGGGGTCATCGGCATTTTTCTGCGTTCATTTTTGTTTGTTCTCAGTCTTTTGTCTGTTCTAGGTCTGTCTGGTCTGGATGTATCGTTTCAGTATTTTGTCCAGTCCGGTCGTGCCTCTGGACCAGTTGGCCTGATTCAGGCCCAGTGCCCGTTTTTCAGGCCTGGCACACTTAGATTCGGCCTGAACCACGTTTTGGGCCAGCTCTGGTTTGCCCTTTTGTGAGGACATCGCTGCTGTTTCAGCAGGGGAGCCTGGACGTTCGGTTGGGACCCAGGCAGGCCGTTTTGGCCAGGACTGAGGACAAGGATTTGTGCCTGCATCCTGGACCATCGATCGGCAATAAGCGATCGGTCGGCCCAGGACACAGGCCGAGGCAGGATTCAGAAGGCCCATCTCTATATTTAGCTGGGCCAGCCTCCGTCCTAGGCAGGCAGCATTCTGGAAGTCATGTGACTACGCTGATGGAGCAGTGCTGGAGATCAGCTGCGCTAGGCTAGAGTAGAGGAGACAGCAGGACAGCGAGCAGAGGCCACAAGGTGCTGATGGGTAGAGGCTCACCTGATCTTACCTGTTGGACGCCATAGCGGGAGATCATCTTCAGGCCGCTCCACCTGCAGTACAGCTCAAGACAGCATCTTTTTGCTGGTTAGTACCTGGCGACAAGAGAGAGCGAGAGAGAGGTGAGACTTCTTTCTTCGTCTTCTTCGTCCCTGATTCTATCCTCCATATCCATATCTTCTTCTTCTGCGACTATGTGTGTGTGTGTGTGTGTGTGTGTGTGTGTGTGTGTGTGAGAGAGAGAGAGAGAGAACCTTACCTTTAAACAGGCAATGCAACACGC